TGTTAGGAAGTATTTCTTCAGTCACAGAGTAGTCAGGAAGTGGAATAGTTTGGGAAGCGATGTAGTGGAGGCAGGATCCATGCATAGATTTAAGCAGAGGTATGATAAAGCTCACGGCTCAGGGAGAGTGACCTAGTAGCGATCAGTGAAGAGGCGGGGCCAGGAGCTCGGACTCGATCCCCGCAACCTCAACTAGGTGAGTACAACTAGGTGAGTACACACACACACACACACACACACACACACACACACACACACACACACACACACACACACATTTCTTCAGTCATAGAGTCGTCAGGAAGTGGAATAGCCTAGCAAGTGAAGTAGTGGAGGCAAGAACCATACATAGTTTTAAGAAGAGGTATGACAAAGCTCAGGAAGCAGAGAGGGAGAGGACCTAGTAGCGATCAATGAAGAGGCGGGGCCAGGAGCTGAGTCTCGACCCCTGCAACCACAATTAAGTGAGTACACACACTCACACATACACATATTCACACGCACACGAAAAGTAGTGTAAATATAAATAGGGCCGGAAGTGGAATAGGTCGCTAGATAACGAGAGGGAAGAAAGGGAGATGGAGAGAGCAAATAAAACGCTAGGATAAACAGAGATGTATGATAGAGGGAGGGAGGAAGTAGAGGGTCTGGAGTGAAGGAAGATATAGGCTACATCCGCAGTGTGCTGCCACCATCTTCTGCACGAAGAGTATAGTGATGGAGGAGGAACACGAAAGATGGAGAACAAAGAGGGAGACTAAATGGGAGGGATGAAAACACCCAGATAAAGAGAGTGAGAGTTTCAGTAAAAGTCGATAACTCATCGATATGAAACCAGCTGTAGTCGGCACCAGCTGGCCAGTCAGTCTTTAAGACTTATTACTAAAACACTATGTTAGTTTCCGCTACCCATTCATCCTTTACTTAATTCTCCAGGTCCTTCCCTCACGCTCGACCTCTTGCTGGCTGTGTTGGAGCCAGCTGGCTGTGTTGGGTGCTAAGTGCTTTGGAGCCAGTTGGCTGTGTTGGGTGCTAAGTGCCTTGGAGCCAGTTGGCTGTGTTGGGTGCTAAGTGCCTTGGAACCAGTTGGCTGTGTGGGGTGCTAAGTGCCTTGGAGCCAGCTGGCTGTGTGGGGTGCTAAGTGCCTTGGAGCCAGCTGGCTGTGTGGGGTGCTAAGTGCCTTGGAGCCAGCTGGCTGTGTGGGGTGCTAAGTGCCTTGGAGCCAGTTGGCTGTGTGGGGGGTAAGTGCCTTGGAGCCATTGGCTGTGTGGGGGGTGCTAAGGTGCCTTGGAGCCGGTGGCTGTGTGGGGTGCTAAGTGCCTTGGACCCAGCTGGCTGTTTTGGGGTGCTAAGTGCCTTGGAGCCAGCTGGCTGTGTGGGGTGCTAAGTGCCTTGGAGCCAGTTGGCTGTGTGGGGTGCTAAGTGCCTTGGAGCCAGCTGGCTGTGTGGGGTGCTAAGTGCCTTGGAGCCAGCTGGCTGTGTGGGGTGCTAAGTGCCTTGGAGCCAGCTGGCTGTGTGGGGGGTAAGTGGCAAGTCCAGCTGGCTGAGACAGGTCGCTGGGGCCGGTATTTATTAAGTGGTTTGCTCCACTTATCCAGTGTTCACTGTAACCTCATTCTGGAATTTCGTTTTAGTTTGTATTTCTTACTCAGGTACTTCTTTTTTTCCAGTGGTGGAACTTTCTTTCAGTGTTGATTCTTTCTTTAATTATGACATTTCTTTGCAACTTTGATACTTTCTTCCAACTTTCACACTTCCAACTTTCACACTTTCTTCCAACCTTCACTCTTAATTAGTTGCACTCTTGCTTTCTCGTCTTCATAAAAACTTTCACTCTCTCACTTTCTCATTATCAAAACTCTGAGCCTCTCATTTTAACAATTTGTATAGCATCTTCTAAGCCCTCATTTTCACCCTCACGTTCACTCTCACTTTCACCCTCATTTTCACTCACTTTCACCCTCACTTTGGCTCTCAGTTTTACCCTCACTTTCACCCTCACTTTCACTCGATTTCATCCTTCCTCCTCACTTGTCTGAACATGACACATTATCGAGTCATGTGTATTGCATATTGCATATTCCTCCTCTCATAGCACTGTGCTGTGGATAGACTGTACACTAACGATAGACTGTGTGCACTAACGATAGACTGTGTGCACTAACGATAGACTGTGTGCACTAACGATAGACTGTGTGCACTAACGATAGACTGTGTGCACTAACGATAGACTGTGTGCACTAACGATAGACTGTGTGCACTAACGATAGACTTTGTGCACTAACGATAGACTGTGTGCACTAACGATAGACTGTGTGCACTAACGATAGGCTGTGTGCACTGAAGATAGGCTGCACGCACTGAAGATAGACTGTGTGCACTAACGATAGACTGTGTGCACTAAAGATAGGCTGTGTGCACTAAAGATAGGCTGTGTGCACTAAAGATAGACTGTGTGCACTAACGATAGACTGTGTGCACTAAAAATAGGCTGTGTGCACTAAAGATAGACTGTGTGCACTAACGATAGACTGTGTGCACTGAAGATAGACTGTGCGCACTAAAGATAGACTGTGTGCACTAGCGATAGACTGTGTGCACTAACGATAGACTGTGTGCACTAAAGATAGGCTGTGTGCACTAAAGATAGACTGTGCACACTAAAGATAGACTGTGTGCACTAACGATAGACTGTGTGCACTAAAGATAGGCTGTGTGCACTAAAGATAGACTGTGCACAAAAAAAGTTTAGACGTGTGCATAACGATAGACTGTGTGCACTAAAGATAGGCTGTGTGCACTAACGATAGACTGTGTGCACTAAAGATAGGCTGTGTGCACTAAAGATAGGCTGTGTGCACTAAAGATAGGCTGTGTGCACTAAAGATAGGCGGTGTGCACTAACGATAGACTGTGTGTACTAAAGATAGGCTGTGTGCACTAACGATAGACTGTGTGCACTAACGATAGACTGTGTGCACTAAAGATAGACTGTGTGCACGTGAATTCGTGCGTGCAATATTAAATATTATGCAACAGAGGTAACTATATTATGCAACAGAGGTAACTATATTATGCAACAAGGGTAACTATATTATGCAACAGGGGTAACTATATTATGCAACAGAGGTCAAACTAAAATTTTAATGCAACAAGGGTAACTATATTATGCAACAGGGTAACTATATTATGCAACAGAGGTAACTATATTATGCAACAAGGTAACTATATTATGCAACAGAGGGTAACTATATTATGCAACAGAGGTAACTATATTATGCAAAAAAGGGTTTAAAAAACTATATTATGCAACAGGGTAACTTATTATGCAACAGAGGTTTACTATATTATGCAAACAGATTTAACTATATTATGCAACAAGAGTAACTATATTATGCAAAAAGGGGTAACTATATTATGCAACAGGGAAACTATATTATGCAACGAAAAAAATAATTTATGCAACAGGGGTTACTATATTATGCAACAAGGGTAACTATATTATGCAACAGGGGTAACTATATTATGCAACAGGAGTTACTATATTATGCAACAGAGGTAAATATATTATGCAACA